CTGAGCCAAAGGCAGACGCTTAACAACTGAGCCACCCATGTGCCCCATCCACAGGAACTTCTTAGTAGACACGTCTCCAGAGGCAAGGGAAACAAAGGCAAAAATGAACTGTTGAGACTTCATCAAGATAAAAAGCTTTTGCACAGTAAAGGAAACAATCAACAAAACTAAAACACAACCTAAAGAATGGGAGAAGATATTTGCAAATGACATATCAGATAAAGGGCTAGTATCCAAAATCTATAAAGAACTCATCAAGCTCAACACCCAAAACACAAATAATCCAGTCAAGAATTGGGTGGAAGACATGAACAGACATTTTTCCAAAGAAGACATCCAAATGGCCAACAGACACATGAAAAAATGCTCAACATCACTCATCATCAGGGAAATACAAATCAGATACCACCTCACACCAGTCAGAATGGCTGAAATTAACAAGTCAGGAAATAACAGATGCTGGCGGGGATGCAAAGAAAGGGGAACCCTCCTACACTGTTGGTGGGAATGCAAACTGGTACAGCCACTCTGGAAAACAGTATAGAGGCTCCTCAAAAACTTAAAAATAGAGCTACCCTACAATCCAGCAATTGACCTACTAGGTATTTATCCAAAGGATACAAAAATAATGATTTGAAGGGGCACCTGCCCCCCAATGTCTATAGCAGCAATGTCCACAACAGTCAAAATATGGAAAGAGCTGAGATGTCCATCGACAGATGAAGGAATAAAGAAGTAGTATGTATGTGTGTATATATATATATATATATATATGGAATATTACTTGGCCATCAAAAAGAATGAAATCCTGCCATTTGCAATGATGTGGATGGGACTAGAGGGTTTTATGCTAAGGGAAATAAGTCAGCCAGAGAAAGACAAATACCATATGATATCACTCATATGTGGAATTTAAGAAACAAAACAGACGAACATAGGGGAATGGAAGGAAAAAGAAAATGAGATAAAAACAGAGGGAGGCAAACCATAGAGACTCTTAATTATAGGGAACAAACTGAGGATTGCTAGAGGGGGGTGGGTGGGGGGATGGGGGTAACTGGGTGATGGGCATTAAGGAGGGCACTTGATGTAATGAGCACTAAGTGTTATATGCAACTGATGAATCACTAAATTCTACCCCTGAAACTAATAATACACTATATGTTAACTAAACTGAATTTAAATAAAACAATTTTTAAATAAATTATTTTAACATTAGTTTTGGTGGGAATAGGCAGGGTTTTGCCTATGTTCATGGTGATAAATAATTCAGTTACCCTAGATCTTAGAGAGTTTGCTTTGGATCTTCTTATCATAGGTGGCTAGAGCTAAACATTTAATAATCACCACTCTGGTAGAGTATCTTCTAAATGCTAAATCATGGATTGGATTCAGTCTGTGGTAAAGTTTTCAGTAGTCCTCAGCAAAGTAGAAAAATAAGGCCAGTGATACTTTGAGATTATATTCTTTCTATTTTGGGTGTTACAATATTCTTTCTTTTACAAATTGATGATTATAGAAAATGGTGGTGATTTTATGATGTCCTTACTTCATAAAAGTTAGCTTTTGGAATGTGCATTTGTTTTGAGAACATCAATTCTATTAGATAAATAAAGTTGTTGTTTATAAAACATAGGAAAAACTTTTAAGAGGTTTTAACCATAGATTAGTACCTAGTAAGCAAAATATTTTTCATATGTAGAATTCACTGGATGTGGTAAACATAAGATAAGTAGAGCACATTATGTGCTAAACACAGAGGGGGATACTTAATATTCCTGAGATACCTGGGTTCTAAATACCGATAATATAGGATTCATACATGAGACTAAATACAGAGACACTCGATATTCAGGACACACTAAATATACATGAGCATTTATTATTCATGATGCCTTAATTTGGCCACTAAACAGTGATCTCCATTCTGGCCCCACATATCCTCTGCTCAAAAACATAAATAAAACCCATGGAGTGCCTGCAGAAGAGCTGAGTAAGATCTGATTTTTGCAGAGGTCAACTAAAATAACAAGTCTGAAACAGCCTACTCTCTCCTGTGTTCTACCTGCAGTCCTGAAAGGGTCAGTGGCAGAGAACAATGCAGGTGGTGACAGCAGGGTCACAAGTGCTCACAACAGGGAACAAGGTCAAAAGGCATTTATATGATACAGCACCCCAAAATACACATGGTAAAGTTACTGTGGTCATCGCAAACTTCTGAAAATTCTTAATACATGGCAATGATGGTATGACTATCCAAATGAAGATTTCAACTTTCCTTCCATTTCTTTATACGGAGCATTAATAAAGTGCCAAGTTTCACACAGAGGACAGCATGGAAATTTACATTTAAGATAGAGCTTTTGCAAAAAAAAATTTTAAAAAAAGAGCTTTTGCAACTGTAAACATTGGTGCACACTGTCTTACCTATTAACTGTTGTGTTTCTGGTAGGAATGTTATAAGCCCGCAATATTCTGACAAGAATCTTAATATCTCCATCACAGACAGTGTGCGCTGCTACCTTTTTTCTTTCTTTCCTCTGAGGCTTTAACTTCCTTCGTCGTTCAACAAGCTTACAAATTGCATGTGTCAACTGGCTAAAGAGTAAGAAAGTGATCAGCTGCATATACCCAAGATAACTTTGTTTTAAAAGACATCAATTTTTATTTTTTATTTTATTTTACAATTTTATTTATTTATTTGACAGAGAGAGACACAGCGAGAGAGAGAGCACAAGCAGGGGGAGTGGGAGAGGGAGAAGCAGGCTTCCTGCCGAGCAGGGAGCCCAATGTGGGACTCGATCCCAGGACCCTGGGATCATGACCTGAGCCAAAGGCAGACGCTTAACGACTGCGTCACCCAGGCGCCCCAAAGACATCAAATTTTAAAGTGAATTATTGTGAATAAGGCCATTATTCGGAACCATATTCTCTCCATTGTGGAGGGGAGACAGAGTTGTCTTAAGCCCAAGGAAAGAACCTTTCTCTAAGCACAGAAGAGATTCTGTGCTCACTATCATGTTGTGAGAAGATGCGATTGCCCCATGCCCTTTGGGTACATGGTCCAAGAAGAGACAAGGGCATGGAGACGTCATTCCACAAAGACATGACATTCTTTCAGAATATTATTCATTTTTCAGGAATCACTCTCTTGAAAGTGATCAGATACTCAACTTTTCTACAGGCTCTGAAACAGGAGTTAGTAACACAAGCTGTAATTCCACAAATCCATGGAATTACAGCTTTATGGTCACACTCATTTCCACCCCCTCAAAAAACGAAAATAAAATACAATAGATTTCAGCATCCAAGCCAACTAAAACCATATTGGTCACATTAGGAATCTGCAAGTGGCCCTGGGGAGGATTCCCAGAAACATGGCATCCCTACTCCTAGTCCTACCCCTAAGGTTCAGAGATAGAACAGTATGAGAATTGAGTTGAGCCAAAGGCTCCCCCACCTGCTGCCTGTGGGTTGTAGCACCCACGGATGGCTGAGGATTTTTGAAAGGGAGAGATTATAGGCTTAGTATGCGGTGCTGCCAGCAACTTTTCCAGGAGCGGCCCCAGGACAGGAAAATCTTAGGACAAAACTAACTTGGGACAAAGGTATTTCTTTTCTTTTTCTTTCCTGCCCTAAAAACTGTCAATAAGGAAAGGGTTAAAAACCAGTACTATGCAACTGAAAACACCTATCATATAGATATGTCCAAAATGCAATTTTAAAATAACCAAATATATTTTAAGTCACTATATTTCACTTTATGCCTTGTAAATGCATCCTCTGACATGTAACTTAATATTAAAACAGAGAACTTTGAGGGCATTAGCTTAAAGCTTTATATTTCATATTTAAAAAATAATAATTTTTACAATGTACCTTGCAGATACAATTTCTTCATAATCAGCCACAACATCTGATAAGTTAAATTTGCTAACTTTGACAATTCTTTTCATTATCAACCTTCTTATCTACAAAAAATATATTTAAAGAAATAATAGTTAATATTTGAAGATTAAGTATTTACAATGCTATTGGTGCCACCATTTTTTTAGTCTTAATTTTTGCAAGCAATGAATGTAAAGGGAGATGAGGAGGATTTCACAAAAGTAAATGCAAACATACTGATAATACTATTTTGTTATTGTTACCTTTTTCAGAAAATTGGCAGAATTAATCCTTTGTGCAGTAATAGAATTGACATCTGAAATGGAGACATCCTTCTCTGTCTGACTTTCATATTCCTAAACAGAGAATTAAGTTAGTTTTACCTCTTCAATGTAACAGTGTTCAGAGTATGATGCACTGCAATAAGATATAAAATATTAAATATTCAGTTCATGTGTGGGAGACACTGGCAACACTCTGGCATAAGAGAAGAAAACATTTCTTTCAGATTCTCCTACTGAGCATTAGCTAAGAACAGCTTTTGTCCATATTTCATTTGTTTCTAGGATGAGGTCCATTCATCCTTTAAAATAGATAATGTTGGGGCGCCTGGGTGGCTCAGTCAGTTAAGTGTCTGCCTTCAGCTCAGGTCATGATCCCAGAGTCCTGGGATCGAGTCCCGCATCGGGCTCCCTGCTCAGCGGGGAGTCCGCTTCTCCCTCTCCCTCTGCCCCTCCCTGCATCTTGTGCTCTCTCTCTCTCTCACACTTACTCTCTCTCTAATAAATAAATAAAATCTTTAAAAAAACAAAGAAAAATTAAAACAGTATAATGTTGAGAAAAAATTATGATTGAGAAAATTATGAGAAAATGTGAAAATGATGGCAAAATATTCTTTATGCATGCATTTACCTGGCAATCACTGAAAACAAAACATATGGGGAGTAGTACAGTATCAATAACTTTAATTTTTAACTTCTAACTTTATTTTTTTAGGTTTTTTTAAAGTAATCTCCACACCCACCGTGGGACTCGAATTCACAGCCCCAAGATCAAAAGTTGCAGTCTCCACCAACTGAACCAGCCAGGTGCCCCTTAACTTCTAACTTTAAAAAGTTTATCAATAATGTTAATTTTACATCCAGCAGTTGGTATAAGATTGTCAGGCTGCTTCATCTATATAATTCAGAATAAATCTGTATCTGTTAAATCTATATTTGTGGGATACATCCCTAGTGCACATGGAAATTGTTTTACATTATGGATAACACTAATGACTACACAAAAATAATGAAGTAGATACTTTAGAACTTTTAGCCATGTTACAACGAACATTCTTTCATCTGAAAGTAATTTATTTGTTCTTCTGATTATCTGCAAGAAATCTTGAATTTAGTTCTGTTGGTAAGTAACAACTTTTACTTAAAGATATATTAATATTTCATATCACTTTACACTTTATTAATTTATAGGAGCTACTTAAATATTATAATGTCTAGATATTAATTTTTTGTTATATGTGTTGCAAATATATTGTCTTAATCTGTAGGGTTTAATTTTAATATCAAATTTATTAACCTTTTTTTAAATTTATACTTTTTGTGTTTTAAGAAATACTTTCTTACCCCAAGATTAAGATATCCATTTAAAGTTTTGCTTTTCACATGTAACCCTTTTCTTATTAAGTTTTTTATTTTAATTCCAGCATAATTAACATAATTCACATGTAGTCTTCATTACACATGGTATTTATTCCTTTTGTGAGGTCTGAATCTAATTTTCTTTCTTTCTAGACAGATGACCAGAACCGCTTAAGATTTTTTTTTAAAGATTGTATTTATTTATCAGAGAGAGAGCGAGCACAAGTAGGGGAAGTGGCAGGCAGAGGGAGAAGCAGGCTCCCTGCTGAGCAGGGAGCCCCAGGCAAGACTCAATCCCAGGACCCCGGGATCATGACCTGAGCTGAAGGCAGACCCTCAACCAACTGAGCCACCCAGGTGCCCCTTTTTAAAGATTTTTTTATTTATTCATTTGAGAGAGACAGAGAGAGTGAGTGAGGGCATGAGCAGGGGGGAAGGGCAGAGGGAAAGGGAGAAGCAGACTCCCCACTGAACAGAGAGCCTGACTCGGGGGCTCGGTCCCAGAACCCCGAGATCGTGACCTGAGCCGAAGGCAATGGCTTAACCCACTGATCCACCCAGGTGCCCCAAAAGCCCATTCTTTTCCAACTGATTTGTGATTATACCTATCAAATATAAAGTTTCCACATATGCATAGTAAGTCTGTTTTGAGGCCCTCTGTTCTATTTCACTGGTTTGGAATTGCATTACTACATTTACAAAATAACTCGGGGATAACTGGCATCCTACAATGCTGGCACCTTACAACTTCCTATCAGTGAACATTTACTCAGATTTTTTTTACATCATTCAAAATGTTTTATAATTTTCTCCATTAAGTCCTTGCTAGCCAGTTGTCCCACATTCCAAATTTGATTGTTTCCTTGCGGTGCCATTTAACTTGTTTCTCTATTCCTCATACTTCTTGTTAAACAAATTAATCTAAAGTCTTAATTTGATTCAGATTACACATTTGTGGCAAGGATACTTCATACATAATGTTGTATGTTTCATACTGTATCATATAAAGGGCAATAATGTCTGTCTTTTATTAGTGCATTAGTTTTCTCTTCCTGCTGTAACAAATTATCACAAATTAAGTTGCTTCAAACAACACAAATTTAGTATCTCACAGTTCTGTAGGTGAGAAGTTCCGGTTGTCTCAGCTGGTTTCTCTGCTCCAGGTTTCACAAGGTTGATGTCAAATTGTAGGCCAGCTGGGTTCTTATCAGGAAGATCTGGGAAGGATCTGTTTCCAAGCTCCTTGACGTTGTTGGCAGAATCCAGTACCCTGCAGCTTTGCGACTGAGGTCTCCTTCCCTTGCTGCCGTCAGCTAGGGACCACTCTTAGCTTCCAGGGACCTCTCTCCAGTCTCTGCAGGTGGTCCTCTAAGTCTCTGAGCCAGCAACTACATGTTTAATCCTTCTCATGACAAATCTCTCTGATTTCTCTTGCTGCAGTTTTTGCTCCCAGCTGGAAAAATGTTTCTGCTTTTAAAGGCTCATGTAATTAGATTAGGTCCCACCCAGATAATCCAGGATAATCTCCCTATTTTAAACAATGTAACACAACATATTCACAGGTTCTGGGGATTAGGGAATGGACATCTTTAGGGGGCCATTATTCAGCCTATCACTATTAATAAGATTAAGTTGGATCATTGAGTCAAGACAGCTAGATATCTCCATTGTAGAGGTACAATGTTCCTTTTGCAATAAAAAATTAGTCATTTTAAATATGGATATTATAGTCAACAAATTTACTAGTTGTGACAGTTTGCTGTAGTTTCTCTTATGTTTTCTATGTAGACAAATATATTTTCTGCAAACAAGGGCAATTTGTCTTTTCTAATTCTAATTTTCTTCTTTCTGTCCTAATGCATTGGTTCTTAGTGGTAGAGATGTTGGCGGGCATCCTTCCATTGTTCAGATTAATGGGAAAATTATTGTCTATCCACTAAGTATAATGTTTGCATAGGAGCCTATGAGGAAATGGATTTCGGATCATGTTCCTTACACCAACTCAGTTCAGAGCCATACAATTAATAGGGTATTGAATCACAGTCAAGGGGCAGATTATAAGGAATAGGTTTTCCAGAATGCTGAAAAGCTGGAAACAGAGATATTGTTCAGGGACACCTGGGTACTGGCTCTATTTCTTTTCTTGAAGGAAAATATGGCTTTAGTGACCTTGACTAGGGATCAAGAACCAAAGGAGGCCAATGTTTGTAAACATTCCCTTAAATGGAAGTGCATTTACCATGTAAGTATTAATTCTCCTGGATTAGTTAGGTAAACCTTGCCTATTGTGTACAGGGGTTTTTTGTTTGTTTAATTGATTTTTTGTTTGTTTTATTTTGTTTTGTTAACTCTGGCAAAACCCTGTTCTGTGTGGACAGGTCACAAGAAGCTTACCCCCCATTACGGTACCAAAGTCCAGGAAAAACCAGCATCTAAATTTGTTGCAGCTGTCCTGTCCTGTGTTCTGCTCTGCTTTCTGTTTGTTTTTGCATTACTAGCTAATTACATCTAAAATTCAATGTAATCAGCCAGTGGGTATGTGGTACCTTCTTTTCTCTCCTCCCATCCTCTCAATTCCACAATTTAGAAGAAGCACTTCTTTCAATGCAGTTCACATCAGCAGAGAAACCCAAAATGTTGTAACATTCTTAATCAGTTTAAAGAAGTTCTCTTCTAAGGAAACAATCAACAAAACTAAAAGGCAACCTAAAGAATGGGAGAAGATATTTGTAAATGATATATCCAATAAAGGGTTAGTATCCAAAATATATGAAGAACTTATAAAACTCAACTCAATCCAATTAAAAAAATGGGCAGAAGACATGAACAGACATTTATCCAAAGAAGACATACAGATGGCCAAAAGACACATGAAAAGATGCTCATCATCACTTATCATCAGGGAAAGGCAAATCAAAACTACAATGAGATATCACCTCACACTTGTCAGAATGGTTAACATCAACAACACAAGAAACAACAGGTGCTGGCAAGGTTCTGGAGAGAGGGGAGCCCTCTTGCACTGTTGGTGGGAATGCAAAATGGTATAGCCACTCTGGAAAACAGTATGGAGGTTGCTCAAAAAGTTAAAAATAGGACTACCCTACGATCCAGCATTTGCACTACTGGGTATTTACCCAAAGAATACAAAAACACTAATTCAAAAGGATACATGCACCCTATGTTTATAGGAACATTATTTACAAAAGCCAAGATAGGAAGCAACCCAAGTACCCATTGATTGATAAATGGATAAAGATGGGGTATATGTATACGATGAAATATTATTCAGCCATAAAAAGAATGAAATCTTGCCATTTGCAACAACATGGATGGAGCTAGAGAGTATAATGCTAAGTGAAATAAGTCAGTCAGGAAAAGACAAATACCATATGATTTCACTCATATGTGGAATTTAAGAAACAAAACAAACAAGCAAAGGGGAGAGAGAGACACACACACACACAAACCAAGAAACAGACTCTTAACTATAGAGAACAAACTGATGATTACCAGAGGAGGGGGGGTGAGGGGGATGGGTGAAATAGGTGATAGAGATTAACAGTGCACTTGTGATGAGCACCGGGTATTGTATGGAACTACTGAATCACTATATTGTACATCTGAAACTAATATAACACTGTATGTTAACTAACTGGAATTAAAATAAAAACTAAAAAAAAGAAATTCCCTTTTAATTCTAGTATACTAAGAGCTTTCATCATGAATGAGCACTGATTTTATTAAATGCCTTTTGGGCATTTATCAAGAGGAGCGTATTTTTCCTTCCTTAATTATGTTAATGTGAAAAATTATATTAATTGATTCCCTAATTAGCTTTGTTATGTGAAAACAAATCCTCTTAGATTATAAAGTGTAATTACATATTTATATACAACACATTGCTTTCCAATTTGTTGAATTTTTATTAGTAATTTTACAACTATGCTCATAAATAAAATGATCTAAAATGATCATTTCCTGCTCTCCTTGCCCAATTTTGGTATGAAAGTTCTATCAGACTCAGAAAATGAGTAGGATTACTTTTCTTTCTTTTCTGTTCTCGGAATAGTTCGAATAAGATAAGGAAAGCTCCTCGTTTCAAGAGCAGAAACTGTTCCTCTTTTATGATGTTATATTCCCGATTATGCTGAGCCTTGTGCTTTGCCTGTCGCAGTTTATGGAATTGTAGAATTGAATTCAATCACTGAGAGAAGCAGCAGGAGGAAACTGAATAACTTTCTAGCTGTTTTAAGCTATTCTCAGGCCTTCCCACTGCAGTTTGCTAACTGAAGTTCCTAAGGTCTCAAAACAGGAGACTGACCATAATTAAAAGTTGGGAAATGCTTTCCGAAGCCGAATACCAATTGGCCAGTTTGTGATTACATATATTTCTACTCACCCATGTTTGTGAAAGTCATAAATTATCTGCAAATCCTATTGTTATATGACTATAATAGTCAAATGTGCTAACTGGTGGTGCTAGGACATTGTCATTGAAAAATCATTAATTTGCATTTCCCCTTTCACCTCTGAGCCACACCAAAAGAGTCTCCGGACAGTCCATTTGGTTCAGAACATGAGTGTCCTTGAGTTTTAAACGTAATGAGTCCTGTACAGTTTTGTTTGTGTATCCTCTAAATTAGGGTTTACAAGCTAAAGGATGGCTGTGTGGCAACAATAAAAACAAACACACACTTTCCAACCAGAGCCCGGCGGAATGGCTCCCGCGAAGAAGGGTGGCGAGAAGAAGAAGGGCCGTTCTGCCATCAACGAGGTAGTGACCAGAGAATACACCACCAACATTCACAAGCGCATCCATGGAGTGGGTTTCAAGAAGCGTGCCCCTCGGGCACTCAAAGAGATCCGAAAATTTGCCATGAAGGAGATGGGAACTCCAGATGTGCGCATTGACACCAGGCTCAACAAAGCTGTCTGGGCCAAAGGAATAAGGAATGTTCCATACCGTATCCGTGTGCGGTTGTCCAGAAAACGTAACGAGGATGAAGATTCACCAAACAAGCTCTACACACTGGTTACCTATGTACCTGTCACCACTTTCAAAAATCTGCAGACAGTTAATGTGGATGAGAACTAACCGCTGATTGTCAAATAAAGGTATAAAACTGAAAAAAAAAAACAAAAAAAAAAACCAAACACACACTATTTTTTAAAACAATTTTTATTTACTATTAAGTGGCTTATTGCAATTTACTTTCAGTCCAGAATAAAATGAAGACAAATATCGAAGATTTTATCCATTTCTTTCTTATTGATAATAACCAAAGTTAAATTAATAAGTCTATTATAACCTATTTTTAAAAGTGTTTTTTTAAATAGGTTTCTTAATATAAACTTATTAGTTAAAAAATTAAGATAGATTTAAAGCAGCAAAAATATTAATTTATCATACAATAAGCCACATACCTGGAAGACTAAATCTGAAATATCTTTGTCGTAAAGGGGTATTTGCTGCAGAAGGAAAATGTCTAATTGACCTGCATTTCTAAGTTGCAATAGCTGGAAACGTTTACTCTTTTTCATTTCTTCTTCAGAAACAAAGTTAAATTCATCTTGCAACTGTTCAAGACGAAAATATTTTGGAACATCCTGTCCTTTATGTTTCATGTACTATAAAACATAATTAATATAGCCTTTACTTAAAATATTAATTTTTTAAAATTTGGGAATTATTTCAAAACACTTTTTTCCCCTCAACTGTGAGATGTTAGAGTTGCCATATATGTAGGAAAAGGAGCAATGAATCTATACAGAGATAGAATCTGGAAAAAAAAAGAAAAGAAAAGAAAAAATAGAATCCAGCCTACATAGCTTTCCAACCTTTTCCTGGTCATGACTAAAATGAAAAATGAAAATATTTATATTGCACACTGGGTTAAAAGATGAGACTATTCATATCTGTTTGCCATAAATGTTGAGAAAGGATCAGTATTTCTGTATACTTGTAACGAACAGAGCACTTTAGTTGGAAGCTGTGATCTAGGGAAGCTTAACTGCAATAATCTATGCATTGTTTTATTCAATAAATGCAAATGTGTGTACACGGTACATGCCAGGAAGAGTGCTAGCTACCAAAGATTTATTCACTGTAGTTCTAAAAGGAAAGATAAAACACAGAATGAATAGCTACAGTAAAGGGCAGAATGATATCAGAGTCATAGAAGTTATAAAAAGAAAAAAAGTTAACAGGAAGGAATGGAAAGAAGGGCCCATATCTGAGGTTATCAGGGAAACCTTTATCAGACTTGCAGGCTACCAAGATAGCCACCTAGGGTGCCCTTCTAGGCAGAGGGAATGACATGAATAAAGGTATGAAGAACGCATGTTTGAAGCACACAGAGAGCAGTTCAGGTGGTTATAAGAAAGAATAGGAGAAGTGAACAGTTAATGGAGTCATTGAGGGAAGGAATGTGTCTATAAATCATCTTTATATCCCTAGCATCTATAATACCATGGGTACTCTGTAGTTGTACAAGAGATGCTAGCCTGAAGTTTAGCCTATAGGATGCCCTGCAGGTTGCTAAGTAACGGCAGAGTACCAACCATCAGGCCTAAAGTAGCAATTATTTCAGTTGTTGAAATTCTAACTGCCTTTACAATACTGTAAAACTGGTTGAAAATCGTATCTGTCCTCAGATTTATCTTTATATGCCTCCTGGTGCCTAGAAAAACTGAAGTATAAGGCGGTAGAGCTTAGGAAATAGAATATACGGTACTGATATTTGCTATAACTTACCATAAGAGATTCCATTAAATCAGAATATTCTGGATTATTTGGATCAATTTTTACTTCATTTGCCCACTCAAAAAGCTTCTGTGCATTAATGAACCATGGAATTCCAGGAACACCTCTTGCATCTACATTCCTTAACACACTAACATAGAGAAAAATATCTTGTGAATTTGCATACAATATCTAAGTTATACATCTGTTATACAGGGTAAAACCTACCCATTCCAGGTAGTTAAAGATAAAACCTATGCATCCTCTGCATTTCAGGATAAAACAGAAGATTTAGATGTGATCTCACTCTTGGTTCTTCTCACATTCTAATTTGTATCCTAGCTTTTTGATAACTGTCTACCCCCACCCTTAAGAGACAGTAAGCTTCTTAAGGGTAAAGTCTGTAAATATCCATCTTTGCCATCTCCACCTGGTGTAGTAGCTAAAACATAGTAGATGCTGAAGGGAATAGTGCTTGCTGAATGTACTTTGTAAACCCTGAGGATAGTAACTTGTTAAATATTTTCTTTCCATAGGATGTACAATATTGCAATTTAATCAAGATGTTAGCTCTGGCAAAATTAATAAAGTCCACAACATAAAAAGAATCTTCAGGCTCGATCCATACAGTTGAAACATAATACAGAGTAATACAATTAACTGGGAAGTATTCTGCCAGAAGGATATCTCTGTTTGGTCACATGTGGCCGTCTTGAGAAGTTGGAGAGCTGCAAGAGCCTAGACTCATAATTCATCCTTGGTGGGACCTCAGCTATAGGCTAAGTGAAGAAGAAATTCAACCCTAAACAGTAAGGATTTCTTGAAAACCATCAATTATCCCAGTTATTTAGTCTCTCTCTTCATAGAAAATTTGCCTCATCATGTGTAATTACAGGGACTTGGACTAGAAAATCTCCAAGATCCTTTCTATAAATTAATTCAAGAAACATTCCAGTCCATAAACTGAGAGTCCAGAAATACAGTTCTGACTCAGATTCAATAATGTCTTAACCCAAACGTGGACACTATCTTATACTGTCTACTTTCCGTCAGCATCTATTCATATTTCTGTGATGAATCTTGGGAAGCTATTGTTAACAAAGCCAATGTCTGGTATGACAGGATATAAGCAAAATTACAAATAGGTGAAGTATGAGTATTCTTCCTTTCTTTAATTCCTATTTCTGTCCTTATATTTGAACTCTTTTTGATATCTTTGTCACAAGAGATCTCTACGGCCCGAGATCTGATTTCTTACACCATCATGTAAGAAATTTTCCTTCTCATAGGAAGAGTCCTAGCCCAGGTCACAAAGCCTGAGGCAAAGCTTACATGTTAATTAACAGATCAGGGAGGGAAACTTATCCAGTTATAGCCTTAAAATAAAAAAGAAGTTGTAAATGGATTTCAATGTACTCCCACGATTTCTGCCTTAGGGAAGGTAATAAAGACCTCAGAACATCTCAGGCCTTTGCTACAATGATTCCTCCAGCCACCCCTATAGGTGTTCAGCTATGGGCTACGGTGAAATCCCTCTATCACCTGGACTCCCTTCTCCACAACCAAATGCCAAGCAAGGAACACAATTCAGTGGCATTAAGTATACTCACAGTGTTGTACAACCACCATCGCTACCCTATTTCCAGAATTTTTATCATTCCAAACAGAAACTCTGTTAAACAACAGCTCCCCATTCCTCCCTACCCCCAACTGCTGGCTTTGTGTCTCTATGAATTAGGGGGGAAAAAAAGTAAAGTTATTAGGGAGGAAAGATAGACTGTCTACAAAACACCAACATGGCAGACTTTTAAACAGGAATGATAAATCCCAGAAGATTATGCAATTATAGCTTCAAAGTGTCAAGGGAAAATAAGTATCAACCTCAGATGTTACACCCAAACTATTATTCAAGAATGAGGACAAAATAAAGATATTTTCAGATATACAAAAACTAAACAAATTTGCTAGCCACAGAGGCTGACTGAAAAAATCAATAAAGGAGCAGATTTTCATCAGGAAAAGTAAATGTAGAATGAAAGTGTGGAAGATAAAGAGGTGCAAACATAAAAGTCAATTAACCATGTCAGAAAATTTCATTAACTAGTGAGCATAAGCAAATGGTTTATATTTTAAAAATGTGTTAAATGAAAACTCTGGACAATAATCACTGAGATTCGAGAAGTGTGCTCAATGTGGCATTAAAGTATTTCAAGATCTTTTCGTTCACTGCTTCATCTCAAGCTCATCGATGAATGAATAAATGAATGAGTAAATCAGAGAATTACATGAATACTTTCTTTTGGATCTTCTTGCTCTGAAGGATAGCTCCAAGCTCTGACTCTCACAAGTCAGCCCTGCCTTTTGGAGCACCCATCCCAGGTTCCTGGAACCCGGGCTCAGCACCAGCCCTTGAACACCCACAACTGTAGAAGAGAGTTCTGGAACCAACCACTCTGATCACGGAGGCCCCAACTGTAAAGTTTTACTTCAAGTTAACTTCATTAGAGAGTGCTCTGGACTTTGAAACCTCCTTTGCAATTCACTGCCTCTTGAAATCTGGCATCTGTCCCAATCTTTCACAGAACTGCTTTTAATCTTTTGTAAACCTGAGTTCCCAAGTAAGTGGAACTGCTAACTGCAGCATCACAGAAGCCATTAGAGAAAAGACTTCAAGAAGCAAAATGATGAGGATAAGCCAATGAATCTGGCCAGAAGGTCACTGGTAGTGTTCAGGAATAAATGGGTTGAGTTAGGGAGGGAATGTGTGAATAAAAAGTGGAGGCTTTGTACACAGATCAGTAGACCACACAAATGAGGACTTGGACAGGAAAAACAGCCAAGACAGGTTTTCAGGGTTTAATCAAATGCTTGGGTTTTTCTTTGTTTTAAAACAAAGAAGGCTTCTTGAATACAAAAGACTAACAGCTTAGGGAAATGAAAGAGTTAAAGATAATGTAAGAAACGGATATAAATACGTCATCAAGATCCTAAAGGAGACAAAGAAAAGTGCCTAATTACCTGTATAAAAGTTAGCTTTAGAGTAAGAAGAACAAATATTTGACTCCAAAAAGAAAGTGAAGAATAGTATGAGGAGACAAAGATTGGAAATAGCTGCAGTAGGGACAATGCTGGGGAAAAATGAAGAAATACAAGCAAATAATGGTTCAGAGTTTTAAAAGCTTATTCACTAGCACCAAAATGGATTATCTTTATTAATTGTCCATTTTTCTCTAAATGCGTTTATTCAGGTCTCTAAGAAGATGACCTTGTTTACTTAGCAAAACAAGGACATCATCAAAATTGCATTCCTGTCTACACAGTGATTTCCGTTTCCTTCTCTGATTTAAAGAGGTATTTCCTCTTCTACAGAGCCAAGCTATCACTTGCGTTCTGGTTCGATATCTTCTTGACTCTGAAGGATCTCATACTCTAATACATTCTGGCTCTTTTTCTATGGATTTCATCACTTATTCTAAGAAGATAAAAATTGCCCCAATTTTCAAGAAACCTATACTTTGATTCTATTGTCTCTTATTTTCAGCCTCTTTTTAAAACTTCTTGGTAAGTAATCTACAAATACCTTAGCCTCTTCAACATCAATTGCTGAGTACTACTGACACTTTGTCTTTTTTTCTCTAAAACTATTGCCAAGAAAAGCATTTATGAACACTTACTATGAATCTGGCCATATGCCACTGGCTTTATAGTGTTCTCACTGTTATTTTTAAAATAGTCTCTAATTTCAGTTTTGATTTCCTGTTTAATCCAAGTTATTTATAGCAATGTTTTAAATTTTAAAAATTATTTTTTTCAGAGCAAGACTGATCAGAAAGTGCAGTTTCCATATGTCTCCTACCCGCCTCCAACCTGCAGTCTACTCTACTATCAATATCTTGTACCAGTTATAATTTATTACATTCATTGCAATAAAAGAGTTGCATTTGTTATAATCAATGACTGACACATCATCAGCACTCAAAATCCACAGTTTACATTAGGGTTTACTCTTGGTGTTGTACATTCTATGGGTTTTGACAAATACATAATGACATGTATCTATAATTATAGTATCATACAGATAGTAGTTTCACTGCCCTAAAAATCCTGTGTGCTCTGCCTATCCATCCCTGTTTCCTCCTAACACCCGGCAACCACTGATATTTTACGGTCTCCATAGTTCTGACTTTTCCATAATGTCATATAGTTTGGGTACAACAATGTTTTTTTTTAATTTAATTTAATTTTAATATGTTATGTTAGTCACCATACATCATTAGTTTTTGATGTAGTGATCCATGATTCATTGTTTTTGTATAACACCCAGTGCTCCATGCAGTACGTGCCCTCCTTAATACCCACCACCAGGCTAACCCATCCCCCCACCCCCCTCCCCTCTAAAACCCTCAGTTTGTTTCTCAGAGTCCATAGTCTCTCATGGTTCATCTCCCCCTCCAATTTCCCTCCCTTCATTTTTCCCTTCTTCTCCTAATGTCCTCCATGCTATTCTTTATGTTCCACAAATAAGTGAAACCATATGATAATTGACTTTCTCTGCTTGACTTATTTCACTTAGCATAATCTCCAGTCCCATCCATGTTGATGTAAAAGTTGGGTATTCATCCTTTCTGATGGCTGAGTAATACTCCATTGTATATATGGACCACATCAAAAAATATGTGTTTAGATGGGGAGGGAGAACCATCTTTTTGTTATCATCATTCTTTAATTTTTAAATGATGGTATCTACTTAGCCCTTTATATTTACTGTTTTATTCAAACACAGCACTATATATAAACCAGTATTACCATTTTTATAGATTTTTACTGTACTTAATTCTAGTAATCCTACTTGTGGTATGATCTAGAAATTAATCCCAAGTTCTCTAAGAAGTCCTAGGGCATAGAGTAAGATTTCTAGGATTTTTCTTCTAGCAAGTTGATAATGCATAAATGATTCTTTCATAATCCAGAATGGTTGGGAGATACAAAGGATCCAGAAATAAAATCCTTGGGAGTCTTGGCCTCTGCCTGCAAGAGCTATGGAACCACTTCTCCCATCATCCATGTAACTATAAACCTAAGCATTAAGGAGATACATTCACTTACATGTAAATCCAAATGAAAATAAATAGTCCAAATCAACTAGACTGCTCTTACCACTGCTAGAGTTTTCCCTTTTACTGACACAGGTTCTGTGTGATGGTTTGCTGAGGACTGGCATTATTTTTCAAGCATAAAAATTTATTACCTGCAATAAGCAGATCTTAATGACTGTGACATGGGTGTCCGAGGAATACCATTTTCATCTAAAGCCCACGATAGAGAGTAGCTCAGTTTTCCTGACGTCAAAAGACAAAGTTCCTCAGTTCCATTTCCCTCAAGAAGAAAAGGTACATCTATTTATAAAAAGCATTAAAACATGAATTTTTAATAAGGCATAGAATGTGACACATTGTAGATTTTTTCTCCCTGACTTTACTTGTGAAACCCCAGGCTGTTCTGTGGTGACCCCAGGCTCTAATCTCAAAACTCTCTCTCATTTTCCGTCTATGGTACCTCAAGGCAGACCACTTCAAACAGACTACAAAACAGAGAGGAAAATATTGATCTGAAGACCTAGGGATGGACACCTCTATGATACTCTTCTTACTACTAGAAGCTTTTTAAACCACTCTTTCTGGAAGTGGCTTCCAGCAGGAAATGACTGCTGGCTGCAGAACTAGGGGCAAACCAGCTACTACTCTGTCCTCTTTCCCTATCGTCCTGAGTCTTCCCCCTCTATCCATTTTCTTTTGCAATCTTCAGAGAGCTTAACAATACTCCTTGAAACTTCTGCTGAGTTCCTGGGGCTCCTTAAATTTTTTGCCCTAAGTCTTTTCTCCTGGGTTCCCACAACGCTATTTTCTCGCTTCAGCTGGACTAAGCAAACTACATTCCTGTCTTATTCCTGTCCTTCCCAGGCTTTTTTGCCTACTTATTTCCTTCTGTCCCCTCATTGCTCATTTGTTCATACTTCCTTTTCACTTGTTCGTACACAAGCAGCTGTGAAACTCCTATTTAGGAAGGTGAAAGAAGGTATCTGGGGGAGAAGGAGAGGAATGGAAGTGTTCTCACAAGCCTTGTCCCCTGATGGCAGCTCTCAAAACTTCAAATGCTAACTTGAATTTCATTGCATGAGGAGTGAAATCAATTGAAAGACAAGTGAACAGAAACATGCCTTCTTCCTTCTCTCCTGTTCTCTTTTTCTTTCACTCCTCCTCTACCTCCCTTCTCTATTCAGCTCAAAGATGCATCAAAACGTCCCATCCCGTCCCATCCCGGAGCATCTTTGGGCTTTGCTAAAGGACAGGCAGAAGCAGAGCAGTCTCTCTACTCAGAAGCAGAGCTCCTGTTCCAGAGAGTGTAGTGCTCTTATCTCAGGTGATTTAGGAAAAGCACAGGTGCCAATTCCAAATTTTAGATTTCCCAAAGATCTGATTCAAGACAGTTTTAAAAATGTTAGTTTAACATCTGAAAGGAGAATTTAATACACTTTAAACCTAATACTGTAAACACAATGCTCTTTACTCATATAAATGACCCAGGGTCAGGTACGACATGGAACTCGTGAAGAGAATGAAGGTGGGGAGGGGGACATGTTAAATAAACTTACTGCTTCCTACTTCTCCATAAGCAGGTATGACCAGCTCATCAGAGCTAAACTCTACATATTCCAAAACAGTTTTGCTTTTCAACTCTGTGTTGTTAGGTAAAGGTAAATATAGTTTTGCCAGTAAGCTTGTCCTTTTACTTATCTCATAAACCTAAATATAAAAGAAATGGTTGATAGGTCACTGAACATACAAAATGGGGGGGGAGCTAAAATGAGAACCCTCAATTAACACATTTTTATTCCTTTTTAAAAATACTAGCATATAAAATAGGTATTTTTCTAGAGCATTTCATCCACATGATTATGAGAAAGGAGATAATCCTAAGTCCTTAAAAATATAATGCCTTTTACTGGTTTCAAAGAAAATAAGTTGAATTAAAGGATAACAAATATATTCTGAGCATATAGGTACATATAACACAATACCCAAAAAACTTACTTTTGTATAGCACTTTTAAAGTTCTTTATCTCATTTAAGCCTGATAAAAATGATTAGGAAATAGGTATTACTTTTCTAATTTTATAAATGAAGAAATTGAGTCTCTATATGAAACTACATTCATAGAAATTCAGGTTGAATTGTTTAGGAAAAGGGGAGATTCATTGGCTCATAGAATCAGAGGAGAAGTTAAACAAGCCGTGGGAGGCAGGGGAGGGAGAAAGAGTCCCGGAAGAAGGAGTAAGGGAGGGGCTGAGTAGACAGCTCCATAGATGTCTACTGGATACTAAACCCAGGTCTTCTGATTCTGTATGCTGTTCTTTCTACTACCATTCCATCAAATCCAGTCAAATCTGGTTTCTGGGACCGCAGGGCTGGAGGCCCGATCCTGGATAGTAAATGTAAAGGTAGAGAATTCCACCTCCGTAAGTGAAGTCTCCTGGGAGAGCCTTGTCCCCTGATGGCAGCTCTCAAAACCATTGTGTGGCTGGAATGGAGTGTCAAGAATGAAAATGGGCCTTGTTAAGTGGGAGAACTAGAATGTTCAAAAGCTCAGAAGCAGGAAATTGCAAGGATGTATGGGGAAAAAAAATCAAGCAGTTCAGTTTGGCTAAAGTGAAAAATGAATAAAGAGGAATGATAAGGAGTAAATTCAAAACGTAGATCAGAATCTGTTGGGTTAGGGCATATAGATTTATTTTGTAATTTCTGCAGTTGCTCATGGTGTACTTTATCCCTAGCTAGATTCCTTTCTTTCCCTGCCTCTTAGTTTGCTACAATCATGTTCTAAGTGGTAGGATGATGAAGGATTCAAAATACACATTTATCTCCTTGGAGTTAGGGCAAGTTTTATACTTCAAGTGGTTGGATTATTACATCACAATTTATTTTAGGTACAACAGGAAAGTATATTCAGTATATTTTTTAAATAGGAATTTCAACAGAGGCACATTGTAAGATGATAGAAACTTGATCGTATACATGAACAAAACGAATGTAGCCTCTGATCAGGGATAGAAAAAAATTATTTTAGGTATTGTAAAAATACCTTTGATTTAGATTTGTAATTATAATTCTCTCCCTACTCCCCAAACCTCACTCTATCTTTATTCCCTCCTAACTTTCCTTTCAGGTCTAATTGCAAGTTTAGCCCCTATGTTAGCCATCAAGACTTCTTATCTAGACTCCTTTAATGTCTCTAATTTTTTTCCATTGTCCTATTTTTCCTTCCTTTAGTGCAGGGGTTCTTATGGTGGGGTCTTTTGATAGGGATCAGTAGTCTGTTATGTGTTTGTTCTTTCATCAGATTCTTAAAGCAATACAAAACATAAATGAACAAATAGATGAATGAATGAATGAATGAAATACACACATACATACATACAAATTCAGCAAGATACTGAAATCACTAAGTCAGGGCTGAGACAATTTGGAGAAATCATTCAAGACTAACAATAGCTATGCTACACGTTATAGTTTAAATAACCCTCTTCCATCACACTAGCAAATGAACAGTAGTGCTGCACATCCAGGGTTGATAAGAATTTTAGCAGGAGAGAATGGAAGTATTTAGAACAACCACAAATCAAATAATTTTGTACTTGTAGCATAAAAGACTATTGCTGAGTTATAAATACATTATTTATAAGTATCTTGCCTACCCATATAGATCAGTCATCTCTAAATAGAAATTACTTGTCACATATAACAGTAATTAATGAGAAATTTAAAATTACAAATGGCATAAAATAAGATACAAAAGTAAATGACAATGGCATACCTCCAAGCAAATTGTTTCAGGCCAGTATATTAACTGAATATTGAAAATTTGCTGAAACATGACTTTAAAATCAAACTGAAGAGGAGATACTGAAGTGCAAGAAACCTGTTTATTGTTGTATAATATTTTAATAAAATACTTAAGCTTCTGAATTTTGGCTCTCCTCTTTTGTTCGTGCCTAAAAATTAAATAAATCTTTAAAGGATCCTTGAAAAACAAAATGGATACAAAATATTGTTCTTTTCAAAATGCACCTAAGCATGTTAAAGTATGACCATTTTGAGGACAAATTCTATCTTAAAGCCCAATAACGCTTGCCTATGTGTGGATAAAAGCCTCTCCTACTCTAATGTTTTTTTAAAGAAGATATTTACTCAAAAATAGAAAGAGAACTAATTTAGGTACTATAAATCACTCAGCAATTTATTTTACTAAATTGAAACTTAAAGAGATTCTGGCACTTACCCATCATAAGATGTCTTATAAAAGGAGAAAACTGAGGGACTTAGGAATGGGGGGGAGCTTGAATTTAAAATTTGAAAATATTTTCTAACTTCTAGAAGAAAGACATACTTTTAAAAGAAATATGCCATGTTTTCAATAACCTCACTGAGGTGGCTCTCAGTCAACAGGCTTGTTGTGTCCTCTTTAAGGTCTTTAAAAATCCCTTTAGGCTTTAGGTTGTACACTCTTTTTCTCCAGGACATTCTTTCTCTAACCACAAAGATCAGAGAGGCAAGCCAGATTCCCCAGGGTTTCTATGAAACACTTGCTGGGAAATAAACTGATCCCTTAAGTGATATGAAATTCCTAAAGAGAGTCTTCTAGCCATTCATTCATTTGCTCATTCACCCAACATTTATTGAATACCTTCTCAGCTGCAAGGCAACTGACCTAATGATGTTTAGGACTTCTCTTTTTCAGAAAGATAAGCTTTAGGTTGAAACATAACATGCCCTTCTGTTCTCCACCCTAATTGTCCTAGGCATCCAGTATCTCCTGGCGCCCAAATCTGCCCACGTTCTCTGTAACCTTTTCAGAGGGTCAGGAGACGAAAGATTACTTTTTTTTTTCCTTTTTAAAGATTTTATTTATCCATTTGACAGAGAGAAACACAGCAAGAGAGGGAACACAAGCAGGGGGAGTGGGAGAGGGAGAAGCAGGCTTCCTGCGGAGCAGGGAGCCCGATGAGGGGCTCGATCCCAGGACCCTGGGATCATGACCTGAGCCGAAGGCAGACGCTTAAGGACTGAGCCACCCAGTCGCCCCAAAAGATTACTTATTTTTCCTATCTCCCTGTTGGCTTCTTCTAATCATCTTCTCAATTAACTCTAAAGAAATATGTTAGGTACATTTCCCCTTTATGTTGCCCTCTGAAAGTAGTTTTAATAATGAGCTCATGAACTGATTATGAAAATTCATTAATTCAGGATTATATTTATCCTCAGGAAATCTTGCCTTTTTCATCACCTATAAACTCTTTATAATTCTTTAATCCCTGTATTCCCTTCATCTCTATCCTTGCCATCAGTATATTCTTCTTTCCTAGAGAATCGATCCTTACTCAACTAGACATTTTAAATGGATAAAGACAGCAACGCCTCACAACAGCAATAACTTTCAAAAGACAGAACACATCCCATTTCCTTTTGCCTTGACTTCCACTAAGTTTTAACCTCCATTTATCTTCCTCCTCCTCTTACTTCTAACTTCCATTTTATGGCTCTTGTTTTCTTATCCTCATGTAGGTGGTCCTTTTGGATGCATGTCTCACATAATAATTATCTCAGGCACTCTTGGGAAGTAGGTGTAGAACAAACAAAGCTTTCCTCCACTGCTGCACCTTGCTGGTCAGAAAGAGAGCAGTGGTAATTGTGCTTTTGTGTCTGCCACTCTTTATGTCATTTTAAATGTAATCATCCATCCAATCATTTCATAAATATGAATATTTTGGGGGCATTTACTACCCTTCAACACTGTGCTAAATGATGCACATTCACAATACTCAAAGATGAATTGGTACAAAGTGTCCCATGGGACAGGGATGTCGAAAAGTTGGACTTAAGTTCCGTGTTCTAAGTTGTCATATCTTCTTTAAAGGAGATGAGCTCAGGGGCGCCTGGGTGGCTCAGTCATTAAGCGTCTGCCTTCGGCTCAAGTCATGATTCCAGGGTCCTGGGATCGAGCCCCGCATCGGGCTCCCTGCTCGGCGGGAAGCCTGCTTCTCCCTCTCCCACTCCCTCTGCTTGTGTTCCCCTCTCTCGCTGTGTCTCTCTCTGTCAAATAAATAAAATCTTAAAAAAATAAAAAATAAAGGAGATGAGATCCGTACACCCAGAGATGGGAGAAATGGGGATCTATATTAGATCTGTTTTTGCATGAAAGTCCTAGGAATAGGGAGAAAACAGCTCAAGGAAAAAGTCACAACTGGGAAGGAAAGAAGTTTGTGTCAAAGTAGAAAACTGCCCAGAGGATCCTCCAGATACAGAATACTTTTTATGAAAGCAAGAGGTCCCCTTAGTAAGCAAGGGCAACCACATAACCTTACTTTTTACAGTGGCTTTATATCCTACCTATCTATATCTGAACAAAAATTACTGCCATAGCAAAACAAAACAAAACAAAAAAACAATCATTAAACCAAACAGGTTTATGTCCTACCTCAGTCATGAATTAGAAGTGTGACCCTGGACAATTTACCCTTCCATAAGCACAAATTCCCCCATCTCTAAGATGAGGATAATACCACAGAGCTATGGTTGCAATTAAATGTGCAAATGTATTTAAAAACTTAGTAAAGTGCCCAGCTATGGGACTCACTCAAGAAATCTAACACTATTATTAAAACAATACAATAAAGAGATACTATATAATGAGAAATAATCCTTTAAAATGCTTACAGTGAACACTTGGATAAATTTGTTAATTCTGCAGTGAAAGAGAGTTGTGGCATCAAGGTAATTGGCCTTATTCTTTTAATATCTGATTCTTCAAGTTCTGAAGCTAAATATGAGAAGCTCTAGAAGCCAAAATATAAATATTTAATATACAATGTAAGTTCATTGCTTAAGACAACCATTCTTAAAATTAAACTTTTATTTCTTATGTTTGTCATTTTGTTGGGTAACTGTTACAAATACCAAGACTTCCTATTCTACCAAGCAATTAAATATTATAACCAGTTAAGAGGAGTTGAATGTTATTTTGCAATATAAATACCTCCTGTTTTTCCCCATTCTTAAATGCTTTTCCTTCAGTTTTCTTCTCAGTTTCAGACATTTCTAACAGTTCTTCTTGGTTTTGTTCATCACATTTATTCATTTTTATCCTAATTAATAATAAATATAATTATTTGAAGCAGAAATAGTGGAAGTATTTGAGATTTGTTACTGGTGTTGCTAACACACATATACACATACAATCAATCGCTTACAACAAACAATTTTACATCCCAAGGACGATCGTAGTGAGAATAAGAGTGAGTGGTGAGCAGGCACAGGTCCAGAGCTACGGTTCTGAACAAGCTTATGGCATCCATGGCTCTCCTTTTCTGCTCAGGGGTTCAGAATGCATGTGTGTATCAGACTCGTTTAAAGAAATGGAGGCAAGTAAGCAGGTTTACATGAATTCAGGACTCTACCATATAAAGTTTCATGCTGGGTAGGTTTAAAAATTGTCAGAAGCACTTATGTTAAAAACCACTGCAGCGGGGGAAAAAAGTCAACAAAGTAAACATCTTTCTTAATAGGCTGAAGTTACACTAATCTCCTACAGTTTTGAAAAAAGACCATGGGTTGTGGGGAGGAAACCAGTTATTTCACTGAGTTCACAAACAGCTTAAGTGATTAACAAGTACAGTTTTTAATTGTAACCATCTCCTCCACTAACCATGTTTTTATGACTGTATGTTTCACCTAGAAGTATGATGGGTCTATGTGCAGATTTATAAAAAGTGCCACACTGTTTTCAAATGGCTGTAACATTTGCATTCCCATCAGCAATCAATGAGAGTTCCTGTTGCTCAATATCCTTGTCAGTATTTGTTATTGTCTTTTAAATTTCGTTTTGTTTTGGATTTTAGTCATTCTAAATGGTGTATGGTATATTCACATTGTGGTTTTATTTATTTATTTATTTATTTTATTTTAAGATTTTATTTAT